TCCCCTTCCATCCTCCACCACACCTATTTCTTTGGAAGTTTCATTGAAAACTCACCCCAGGACTCCACTGACTGCTCCTGACTCCCTGCAGCAACCAGTAAGACAACTTTACCTTCACCTTCTCACGTTGCCTCTTGTGATTCCTCCTCAGTGACCTGAGCCCCCGGAAGAACCCATAGACAGAATGTATATATGTTCTCCCTTGAGCCAAACAAACCTGTCATATTTGACCTTTGTCTCCTGTAAGTTTATGCAAGCTGGTTAGGCATTTTACTTCCAACTTCCACCAGCGGGGTTGCTCATTTTCTCCTTACTTATCAGTCTTGTTTAATACTCTTATCTTAGTTACCCTTTAAATTTAAATGTATGTCTATTTAGGACACATAAATTTAATTAATTAGTTAATTGCCAGATGATAAAACATTTTTGAATAAAAAAATGCTTTTTAAGTTGCCCTTTCTATATGTTTTACAGATTTATTCTTCGTAGGTTCCAGACTATGCTTAAACACATAAAAATCTGAGTTACTTCCTCCTCAAGATTGCAATGAGACAGAGATTTACAACAAATGTGCTTACCTCAGTATCACAACAATGAAAAAATAGACAAATAATCCAAAAGATAAGTTAACTAGTGGCTAGAAAGATATCTGTTTCTGAGAAGACAAAGATTATTGATTAAAGCCGAGGGATTGTCTTGCTTTACATAAGTGGCCATTCCTCTGTCGATAAACAAATCTGCACTGCCATAGATAATTCACAGTCTAATCCTACACTGTGTGCAGAATTATTAGGCAAATAAGTATTTCAACCACATTATCCTTTTCATTCATGTCCTACTCAAGCTGTATAGGCTTGAAAGCCAACTAATAATTAAGTAAATAAGGTGGTGTGCATCTCTGTAAAGAGAAGGGGCGTGGCATAATGACATCAACACCCTATTTAAGGTGTGCTTAATTATTAGGCAACTTCCTCTCCTTTGGCAAAATGTGTCAGAAAAGAGATTTGACAGACTCTGAATAGTCAAAAATTGTCAGATGTCTTTCAGAGGGGTGCAGCAGTTTGGAAATTGTCAAGCTTTTGAAGCGGGATCATCTAACAATCAAGCGGTTCATGGCAAATAGCCAACAGGGGGGCAAGAAGGGTGTTGAAAAAAGAAGACGTAAAATAACTCTACATGAATTGAGAAGGATCAAGCGTGAAGCTGCCAGGAATCCATTAGCCACCAGTTGTGCCATATTTCAGAGCTGCAACATGTCTGGAGTGCCGAGAAGCACAAGGTGTTCAATACTCAGGGACCTGGCCAAGGTAAGGAAAGCCGGAAAAAAGGCCACCTTTGAACAAGACACACCAGACAAAACGTCAAGATTGGGCCAAGGAATATCTGAAGACTGATTTCTCCAAGGTTTTTTGGTCTGATGAAATGAGATTGAGTCTTGATGGGCCAGATGGATGGATGGGCACCAGGCTGGATCAGTAAAGGCAGCAAGTTCCTTATCGACTCAGATATCAGCAAGGTGGAGGTGGGGTAATGGTATGGGCTGGTATCATCAAAGATGAGCTTGTGGGACCTTTTTTGGGTTGATGATGGAATCAAGATCAACTCCCAGACCTACTGCCAGTTTCTGGAAGACACCTTCTTCAAACGGAGGTACAAGAAGAAGTCGTCATCATTCGAGAAAAACATGATATTCATGCAGGACTATGCTCCGTCACACGCATCAAAATACACCTCAGCGTTACTGGCCAAAAAGAAAGCCTAAAAGGAGAAAAAATAATGACATGGCCCCCTTGTTCACCTGATCTGAACCTGTGGTCCTTCATTAAATGTGAGATCTATAGGGAGGGAAAACAGTCCACCTCTCTGAACAGTGTCTGGGAGGCTGTGGTGGCTGCTGCATGCAATGTGGATCGCAAACAGATCAAGATACTGACAGAATCTATGGATGGAATGCTTTTCAGCGTTATGGGGAAGAAAGGTGACTATATTGGTCACTGATTTGTTTATTTAATGCCGCAAATGTTTATGTCAAAATTTTGAGTTGTTATATTGGTTTACCTGGTGAAAATAAACAAGTGAGATTGGTATATATTTGTTTTATATTACGATGCCTGATAATTCTGCATGGTAATATTTACCTGCACACACAGACATCCTCATAAAATGGCCAAATCTAAAAAATAAAAAAAAAAAACACATAAACTTCAAGAATAATGAAACTTTTACATTAATGAGTCTTTTGGGCTGATTGAGAATGCAAATGTGGCCCAATACTAAAAATTATCCTCAAAAATAATACTTGCCTAATAATTCTGCACACAGTGTATATAGGAAAAAAATATTTAAAAAAACTATAATGAACACCTACACTTAAGTTGGTGCACATGTTCTTGACTTTACTACCCTCATTACCTTTAAGAATAATTGGAAGAAGCAACAATGTGAAACTTTAAACCTGAATAAATTTTCCTTACAATTGGAGCCCTCTGCTTATATTTTCAAGTGATTCTATAATATGGTTATTTAAAATTTGGTAATCAAATCTTCATAAACAAATGATGCTGCTGGTATGGTCATTAATTATCAGCACAACTGCTCCTCGCATAGATCTTTTATTTTAAAAAAATCAGCACACATCAGCAAACTGGTGTCTTTTTTATTTTTGTTTAACAAGAAAACAAAACAGGTCTTAGAAACCTTCGGTATCCATGTAACTCTAAAAAAGTTGCCATAGTTACAGATGCTGGTCCCTTTGGTATTTTAACATGACGTGTTTAAGAAACCGACCTGTGTTTATCCCTGGCAACACCAGTGGATTGCATATGCTTCTCTGTCAAACACCGAACAATAGTTACTTCAGATCTCTATTTCAAGCAGATATTACCACCACCCCATTTGTTATCCATCACTGGTCCAACTGGGGTAATGTGTGGAGGTTAACCTTATAAATATCTGGTTACAAACACTATGATAGAAGTATCATATATATTATCTATAGATATTACACCACAAGCAGCACATGTTAAAATCTAAGAAAAATGTATGTGTGAACTGATCCCTGTCTGGACTGTACCCAAAAGTGTGCAGCAGCTTGCTGTCTCTGAAAGTGTGGGACACCTGTTCCGTCACTGTCACACTACTGCCACCTTCTGGCGAGTGGTGGTCAGGCATGTTCAGTTGGGACCGTGTACTGTTTGTAATCCAGGATATTGAAAAAAATAAATATAAAAAAACTCATTATAATGAACCCAATAACTCTCTTAGGGAAAACCACATATAAAGATCTAAGTTTGGTCATACTTTTCTCTCTTTGCTTGGATTTACATCTCTTACTCTGACAAGAAAGCTGCCAAAACACAAGATTTAGGTACTTTATTTGGTGTATTCGCGTTTATAGGCCCCTTGGGTTCTCTTCGGTAGTTTAAATGTTTATAAAAACTCTACTGTGTTTAATACATTTGTTTAATAAAAAAACAAAATCGATAAATAGACCTATTTGTTCGACTTCGGAAATGACGACGTGGACTGTGGGTTGCCAGGTTTGCAAAGTTAGACGCAATTTATCTCTAAACAATAAAAAAAAAGAAAAAAAAATAGCATGATAAAAATCGAATAGATTAGAAGTGAATTTTTGTATATTTTGAAATCTAGACGTATACATAGTTTTATTGTTTTTTTTTTTTTATTCAGGTTTACTTTTTGAGGCAATAAACATATAACCTTTGACAAGAATAAAAAAAACCTGATGAGGAGAAGGACAAACTTGTATCTCTTACGTGGTAGATGGAGCAATTCTATCACTTTTAGATTTATAGCACTTAAAGCAATACAATTTCTGGCAATATTCAGCTAATCGCAATCATGAATGCACAAACATAATATTTTATGCTTCTAAAACATGCTTATATTAGGCCTATTATTCAAATTGAAAGTACTTTCATAACTTACCACCCTTTGTGCATCCAATTCTAATGTAGATTTAATTATAAAGCACGTAAAATCAATAAAAGATGCTAAAGGTGTTTTATAATTCAGTAAACTGGATAGATTTTGTGACAATATGACTAAGAAAACACAAAAATACTGTAAAAAACTAATAGGGATTTGTGGCTTGATTAAAGCATTAAACTTACTCCTCATTAGTCCCGCACTTCGGTTTTAAAGAAGTTATTATTGTTGTGATGTAATATCTTAAATATCTGGTTGACATTAATTTGAAACAAAAAAAAATCATCATTTGCAGAGATTATAGTCTGTGTGTTTCACTTATTAAATTGAGCTCCTGACATAAATTAACTTTTAAATAATATTCTTTTTTATTAAAATGCACCCCCAGAAACAATTCATTTGTAATATTATAAGAAATGTCTTATCATTTCACTGTTTTTTAACAATACAAGACAGTCAAATTTACAAAAAATGTTGATACTGTACTTACATATAATAGCAAATACTATTAGTTTTGTGGGGTGTTGCATGCAAAGATTTATTTTCATGCTGCTGTCTAGTGCTGGTTATGCTCTTACATGCTTCTAAACATTTGTTTTTGTAATTTAGAGTAGAATAGAAAAGATTTTTGGTTGATCCCAAAAGAGACATTTTTTTTTCTCAATGAGAGAATGCATGACACTGACCTTTTACATCAATTTCAAAGAAAACAAATAGAAAAAGTCATCAAGTAAGAATCAAATTACATAAAAACATATCCATCCGCAATAAAAGATAGAATCAATAACCGTCCTGCAGCACGTCTTCTGTGTATGCTACCTAAATATGAGCCAATGTATTCCAGTTTCTAAATATACATTAAATAAGCATGAATTGCATCCGTTCACCTGATTAATATAATTAAAAGGAACTAAATTAAATTGAATTTTGTGATTTTTTTTTTTTTTTTTAAAGTTCAAATGCGGGGGTTTTAAACATACTTATTAAGTTAATAATCTTCTGCCAGTCCTCGGAGTATTAAAAGGGGGGTCCTCCTACTCAAACCTGGCAACCCGAAAACGATGTGGAGGAAAATATTGGCCCCAGCAGCAGACTGCTTGGCATTACAGACGGCTGGCTCTTGCAGAACTGCAGTAAGCTCCTTCCAGAAGCTACCGTCCACTTTGCTGCCAACACAGGGTACGTGTTTATTATTTTAAAACTATAAAGAAAACGGACTTTAAGTTTAATTAAGTCAAAAATGCTAAACTGCAGATTTTTTTACGCCTACATTGATTATCTCACAGGTCGTTAGCATTTCAACACAGACTGCTAGCTGCTGGCTAATTTTAGCTAATGCTCTGTGCAAAGGTCCACCGTGGAAAAAAATCGTATTTTATCAAATTCTGCTAGTTCCAATAAGCTGTATAAGTGCAAATCTTACCGTCTGACATAAGAGCGGGGAGTGATATTTAGCTTGGCAAGCTAATCATGAAACGTTAGGTAATATCAGCAAGCTAACGGTCAACGTAACCTACGGACTGTAGTGATGAGGGGGCACCCTGTAGTTGGGCAAGTTCTATTTACCAGAGGCGGATGAAATGTGTTTATCAAAAGCAAAAATAAGAGATTAGGAATCGTAATGTTTGATAACTGGCTGGCTTCACACCTCCAAGCAGGCAGGGCTGTGTAGCTGCTAACGCTGGCACTTGGAGATGGTCAAGTCTTTTGTCGTGAAGCTGCTTTTTCTCAGATGAGGTAATATTCCTGCTTCTGTTGGAAACTCGTTATTTGTTTCCCCGCCGCTTTGGGAAATATGAATGCTTAGATTTTGCGTAATGTTCTCTACTAAGCATTTTGTTTTTAATTTTTTTAGAGCTGCAGAATGAGATGAAATGTTCTCCAGACTGCAGCCACTTCCTCTTTTTATTGACCTGATTGATAACCTAGCTAGACTTTACTTCTGAAACAAATAAAATTGGTTTTAATAGGAATTCCAACCTAAAACTCTAAAAATGCGCTTGTTTTATGTTTCTGTGATATTTGAGGCAAAGCTGTATTCATTTCGTATAAGGCTTGATTAAGGAGGGATTTTTTTTTTTTGCTGTTTTCTGTAGAGATGCATAAATCAGGGTTTTCTTGGCCAGAGTCTCTTTGGTTTTCTTAATCTCCTGACCTGCTGATTCAGATGTTGACAAGCAAGAGTTTTCCTCTAAATAGTTGCATTAAATAAAAGGGTAAATTAGCTTCTTTCTCCTTAATGGGGGTGGCAGGATTGGTTTTTGGAAAATACTGGTAAAAAGAATCCACTAGCTCACATTTTTCTGTCAATTTATAAGTGGTGGTCTAATCTTAATGAATGTAAATTACATTTGGTTGATCATTTTATTGCCTGAAAATTAAAGTCATGCATTGAATGCGTTCTTGGGTGAATTTGGTAATGTTTCCCAGCAGATTGACTGGTGGTTTCCTCTCACGCCATTTTCAGTTATTCTGCTTTAAGAGCCTATTCTGTCAATGTGATTGGTGACAACTTTTAAGTATTAACTTAAATTGGTTATACATATTGTCCTGTAAATAGGATTTAAAACAACTTGAAATTTGAACACCCAACAAATTGATATTTTTGGGGGACATTTACTTACAATTAAGCCCATATAAGTTTTTCCTTTGCAGAGATTTGATACACCCACACAAAAGGAGCCATTGCCCAATATGCCATGATTATTATTATCTTATTTATTTGTTTCTTATTTTTTTCTTCCCCTTTATACTTATAGCCAGGATAATTTAATATAATATGAATATGCTCAGGCAAGTCTAAAATAAAGTAAACCACATTATATATACAGGACTAGTTTTAAGATGTACTGATTGCTTGGTCTTCGTCAGATGATCTATTTGATTTTAAACTCTTTATTTCTTGAGACTAATAGCGTTCATATTGCTAATCCTAAAGGACTTTGTGAAATGTGTTTCTGTTTAATCTAGATTGTTTAAACCTTTACTTGATTTTTAGCTCACATAGGTGCTCCTGGTTCTCTTGAATATTCAAACACCATCCCTCTTGATAAATAGAACGCATCCTAGTGCTGGCATGAGAGGCTGCTGCAGTGCCTCTTGGTGTTTGTGCTTACGTCAGGCTGACGTCTGTAAAGGTGTGGTTGAACCGGGACTGTGACATGCCAAGTCCTCCTGAAGAGGGTGTTGGTCTGGATATGCTTTTTAAGTTTCCTTTTCTAGAGAACAGGTATAAGGAAAAGAAACGTAGAAGAGGAGGAAACAGCTGCTCTGTTAACTGGTTCCAGATGTCTGGTGAGAACATTCGAAAGGCCAGGTTGGGCATCAAGTGAAAATTGGCAAGAAAATAAATCATCCTCCTTTTTTTCTTTCTTTTTACCCCTTTAAAAATTAAATGGCGTTGTTATCATGAGCAGCTGGTTTCTTCCAATCTAAAAAAACAGTTTCACCCACTATGATGAAACGGTTGTTAAATAGGTTCAAAGGTCTAGAAAAGCTTCTTTTTTCCCCCCCCTCCATGCACAGTGCTGACTGCATCAGATGGCGGTCGTTATATTCTGTTAGAAATTCCTCAACTCCTGGTGGTGTTTTATATTTTTTTACTGGTACGTTTCTCAGATGTCTCAAACCAATTAAAGATCCTAGACTTTAGAGGTGAGGTGACGGTTTTGATGCCCTTTTGTCATCGTTTTCCTCATATTCTGAACTTGTGAGGAAAAAGGAAAACCCTTAAAATATTTGATAATGTCGTCCTACTGACTCCTCCTGAAATGAAATGCATTGGTTCTGCCAAGGACGTTATTAAGGACAGACTTTCTCGTGAAAGACAATAATTCATTGAAATCTGTTTTTCATTTATGCGTCACTGCCAGAGGAAATGGATTTTATTTTTATTTTTTTGCATTCATTTGTGTATCCTACAGAACTATTTGTTTTGTGTGTTTTTAGTTTCTTGCAGTATTTAGAGTTTTACCAAGTTTGTTTGTTGTTTTTTATGTAATAACGTACCCCTTTTCTTAATATTCTTTATATTTTCCCCACAGATTGAATCCGCTTGGCTAAAAATCTGTGACAGTCTGGATGTGAACCTTGTTCTTCCACTTTGCCTGCCAGTTGGAAACCTTGTTTTGGATCTCCTGTATCCAGAGCAACCAAAGGCTACAGTTACCCCATTCTGAAACCCCTTTTTCGACACTAGGAGACATATATTAAAGGGCTTGAATTTCAGTTTGCTGCAAAGTCTTTCCTCGGATTGTTCTGTATGACAACGATGGCAAAGAAAAACAGTCAAAAGGGTATGTATTTGTTTTGTAAATCTCTTTTTAGTTCTTATATTTTGTAGGAGAAGCTGCCGGAAAGGAAGTTTAACTCCATCCCTAAGGAATCCTTGCTTTGGGCATTTATAGAGATTCTTGCATGCTTTCATTTCATAAGAAACACAACTTGACAGCAGTTTGTTTTCACTGATCATATATACACTTTGGACTTTGAGTCTTCATACTTTGTTGCATAAAAGGTAATCTGATCTTAACATAATAGAATATTTTTACCTTGTCTATTTTTTTAACTAATTTGCCAGTTTTATGATCTGCCCCATCTCTAAGATTTGAATGTTTTGATTCTGCTGAAAATGCCTCAATTTAAAAACTCCCCAACAGTTCAAAATATGCTTGTGACCTTATTGTCAGAAACACAAGCCCATTTTGGGAATGCTGACAACCAATCTGCAGCTATGCTGTGATTGAGATTCACTTGCATTTTTTTTTTTTTTTAAGGAAATATCTGCAAAGATATCTGAGGCTTCTTTTGTTTTGCAAATGATGTTCTTCAGTGGTTTGCAAATGTGGGTCAAGGCCTGGGCTGATTGCTTTTTTTCCCCCACTCTCTACAGATACATCTGGTGTGGTGTTTGATACTCGCTCCAAAATGGTCATGTCCCAGGGAGGAACAGCCGAGAGGATGAAGGAAAAGGTAAGAAGTGAATAACGAGGAATTAAGATTAGGGCTGGAACAGTTGCCTGATTAATCTAAACCTATGGGCCAACGTAACCAGCAGGAAAAAGTATTGCTTTAAGTTTGTGAAGCAAAGTCTTTTTAAAAGTTTAAGTAAGATTCAAGAGGTGAGGACTGAAGTTTCTAGCCTTGATGATGTGTTTGATCTGCTGGTGGCAATTGCTTTTGTCTAATCAAGTCCAGTGTTGCACCATGATTTAATCGGACTATAACAAATCAATCAAAAATAAAAACCAATGCAGTAGAACAGATATTAGACGGACTAAAATAAAGCAAACATTTAAATATATTAAGATGTCCCCCTTCTACAGGTAACTTATATGGTGATCACTGTACTTAATTAGAGAAAACTCCCCTGGATTTTCTGAACGATCTGTTGAAAACTGGTAAGGGGAAGATGAGATCAAATAATTGAAATCACAAGGAACTGGTTTGATGTAACATCTTGCAGGGTTTTTTTTGTGTTTTTTTTTCAGGTCGCCATGTAAATATGCATGTCAGTAATGGAATTGGCACATTTGATCGTTCTTCTCTTTCCTCTGATATTGATTATATCTGTATTTAATATTTAGCAAACTGTTGCGGGCACATGATTTCCTCATATCCCACATGACTGCATTAGAGCAGATGGTGCAGATGAACAGAAGGCTTTATTAAAGAAACCTGGGCTTCAGTTTATATCACTTGAGCAGAGTCATGGACAGTTTTCAGGTCAACCGTTAGTATTATTTTCTGAGAACTGTGTTCCCTTTTTGTTTTCCCTTACACCACACCCGGTCTTCCATTTAACTTCCCATTAACGCGATTGGAGATGCAGCACTCTGTAAGCAAACAGCTTTTTTTTTTTTCCTTTCTTTTTTTTTCCTCCCTTTTCAACCTTATGGGGTACTCTCCTTATGCTGCATAACTCCCTCGTCTGTTCCCAATATTGTGTAGGCCATAAGAAGGTTGTAACATTTCTGTATCAAAATGCTTTTTTTCTTTTTTTGGGGGGGGGCGTTATATAATAAAACTCTAAGAAGTAGATTTGGGGTCTTTAATTGACCTGTAACAGTCTGACTTAAAAGGTTTAAGTTTTTTTAAATGCATTTTTATGTGGAAGATGTCCTTCATGAGGTTTACTTCTGTGAAATGAACTACTCAAATAAACAGAATTTTCTAGAAATATAATGTATTTACATCATTTGTGGTCAGATGCATATGAAACCTCTCAGATGTGCAGATGTGAGCTCTGTTTGCATATAGTTTCACTCTTTTGATTTGCACCACTTTTCCCAGTAGGCAGTGTTTTGAACGAATGTCAAAAGTCTGGCAAGTTGTCAGCATGAACTACAGATGCTTTGTGTTGCAGAAATGCTGCATGATCCTTTAAATATCACTGGTCTTTGACCAGTTTTAGTTATTCAGCACCATAGATATCCTATAAAAGTGACTTTACCTAAGATGTTAAAGTGTGCTTCTTTAACAGTCGTTTGCATGACGGCTAATAATGATGGGCTCTGTAATTTTATTGCATTTCTGGTTAGTGTTAGGCTACTTGCACATGGAACGAGGGAAACATTGCACCTCCTCTACCAGCAAGTGTTCATTTCCTCAAACATAAGCATTTAAGGAAGTTCGCCAAAATAGTCAATGCAAATGAAAGCATGAAAATTATGTCAAAAATTATATTTTAAATTACTCTTTGAAAGTGTGAGAATTAATCAGTACTGAAGTACTTCAGGTGTGATCCTCCTTTTCTGTAGAATTTGAGCTCCTGTAATCAATAGATTTTTTTTTTTTTCTTTCTTTACAGATCAGTGCCGTCAGAGCTGTTGTTCCCAACAAAAGCAACAACGAGATTGTGCTGGTGCTGCAGCACTTTGAGAACTGTGTCGATAAGGCTGTGCAGGCTTTCTTGGAAGGTATGAGGTTGTTGCTGCTTGATCTCAAAGTTCATTTGATTACAGGATCTTTAAGTGGCATTCCCGTGCATTCACGTCACTTTGAGGATGTTATGTTCAGCCCTGAAATGCAAATGTATTTGCCTCTCTTCCATCAGCGTGTCCTTCAGTCTTTAAGTCTTTAAGTCTTAATTTAAAAATCCAAATTTAATGCCTTAAAAAGTTTTAGTCAACTAATCAGGTTTTGTTTTTTTTAACTAGCCTTCATTTATTTTTACGACTATGGAACACTACCCTAAATTATCTTGTGACACTGAAATATCTGCAGTTTAAAAAAAAAACCACTCAGCCAGCCAATCAGCTTTCGTGCTATTGGCGTGGCCACGTCACCAGAAGGAGTTGTGCTGCCGTTGTCATAGGGAATTGCAAAGTTAACACTGTTTACAGGCGGTGGAGTCTCTCTCAAGAAGTGCTGTTACTGCTGTGAAAGGTCCAGATAAACGACAGCTGCTGCTCTGGCCCCGGCCCAGCACACACTGTAACACTGCCTCACAGAGAGGTTCCCTGGATTGTCCACACAATGACTAAACAGCATTTGTACAGAGCAAATGGCTCCAAGCTGTGTGTCCTGACTAAGACATCGTCCATTTGTAGAAAAGAGAAAACTGGAAACATAAAGTGATGATGACATGGACGTGTTGGAGCAGGAGGCCAGTCCATATACCCGGGATTCCAATACATGGGGTACACACGAGCCAACCACTTATTAACGCACCGGAAATCTGTAAATGTATCTTGGCAAACTTCCTTATTGCCAACTTTATCGATCAGTCACTAGTTGAATAGTAACTGATTATAAAATATCTTCAATAACATTAATCTCTATCTCTATTATGAATTGGATAAAAAAACAAAAAACTAGATAACCAGACAGACAAAAATCTAGGGTTGTATAAAAAAGAAATGGCAGGAAAAGATGACTCCAAAATAACAAATTTATGTGGGACACGGACCAAATACATTTTTCTACATCAAACTTATGAAACAAATCATTACAGTATATTTAAACAATGCGGAGTCCTGCAGTTTTTAGAAGAAGAAAGCTGAACTGCAATTTACAATGAATGGAAACTACATGGTGAGGAAAAAAATGTCAGGAGTTATTAGCCAGTTAAGTTGAAAGAAATCAGGCATCCCTAATATTTACTTTCTCTTTGCTTGAGCACCAGAAGGCTCAGTAGATGGGGAAATAACATTTAAACAATGTTTGACTTTAACTTTGATGGTTTCTTTTGTACATTTTTGTGGTTAAAACAAGCGTTTTGTTTGTTTGTTTTTTTTGCAATGTCACTTTGGGTAGATTTGGCATAAACCCAACTCAAGTAAGAGCTGCTATTGTGCTCTTAAACTACTCGTTAAAAGTATTATTTTTATTTTTGCCAAAAGTTACTAAAGTTTACCAAGTACCCTGCTTGTAGAATTGAAGTGGCACAAAGTTCACAGCTAGTACTGACATGTTCACCTCATGCCTCTGAGCTCCATCCACCCTTCTCACTGTTTTCATCTGGAATATCAGGGTGTGAATTCAGCTTTGGTGTTATTTGCATGCCTTCAGTTTCAAAAGGTTAAATATAGAAACAGGGTTGTTCTGTACGTCACACTGCTTTGTTTGTTAATGCTATCCTGTAAACGTCTCAGGACATTCATGTTTGATGGTGGTATTGCAAGAATTTCAAGTTGTGACCGTATTGTTTACGCAGGCAGCGCAGCCGAGATCCTAAAAGAGTGGAATGTGACCGGCAAAAAGAAGGTGAGCGTAATAAAGCCTGCAATTGACATTCCTCTGCGTCAGCATATTCTTCTTGGTTACTGGTTCACTTTTTCAAATTTCATCATAAATGCAAAATACACTTGATTCCAGTGTATTTGTGACACATACTTTACGGTTTCTGCACTGATCCTATCCGAATTGGTAACAGATTAAATGTGAGATGTGAATATTTACAATTTCAGCCCAAGAAGAAAAAGAAGCCCAAGCCTCAGCCTGAGGCGTCTGCGGAGGCGGTTCAACCTGAGGCTGTGTCGCCAGAGGAGAGCAAGGATGAGATTAACGGCTTTCATGCCAATGGATCGGTTATGGACGGAGAGTCTTTAGATTCACTGAGCGAGCAGCTGGACTCTGCTTCCCTGGATGCAGCTGAGCTGGACTCTGAACCCGCTACATCCGAAACACCTGGTGAGCACATTTATTTGTTTTTAGGATTTCCATTTATTTATTTATTTTTTTCTTCTTATGCAAGACATACTGTATACAAAGAAATTGAGAAGTATTGGTTAGATGATGTGTAAAGATGCAAAGCATACTATTTAAACAAAACAATTGATGTAAAAGTTTATGATGCTTCATTCATTCATCTTCATTAAAAAAAAAGCCCGTCTCTATAATTCTTGTTTAAAAATTATCAGCAGCTCCTTTTTCAGATCTCACAAACGGTATTAAAGCTGGACAATAAATCAAGTTGGCAATATAATTTGTTTTAAAAACAAAATAGTGAAATTGGGCATCTCTAATCTGTATATTTTATAAGCCTGCAGAATGTCAGCAATTCAATCGCAATAAAGGCCTGTGTGATGGGCATATTGCATAAAGTCAGATAAATGGTTGGTTCAGAGGTTTGCATTTGTGCTATACATCAGTTCATCAGCTCTTCTTAAGGTAATTTTGTGAGTCACGCAGAAGCTTGAATTATTTAGCAGTTTATTTGGCCAATCATATATATTTCTTTACATTAGATGCGCATCCCTACCACAGACCCGGGGGAATAGGAAACAGCTGACCAAGTTTAGCGAGTAGCAATAGAACATAATGTAACCTAGTGGCAATATAAAATGGTATAACAAGTGAGGAAAATTTGGTGAGGAAAAACTCCTGGTTTAAAAAAAAAAAAGCATATCATGTGGATGCAGATCTTTTAGCTGCAGAGAGACGTCCTTTTACAATCACAGGTACTGGTAGAAACTACAAAATATTAACGGCTAATCTCCATGATTGCCTTTAACTCAAGAACAAGGACCTGCAGGGAGGGTTCAAAAAAAGCAAAACCAAAGTGGCAAACATTAGAACAACAGTTGTTCATTTATCACAGTTTTGCAAATGGAGCCTCTTAAGAGAAAACACTGAAGTGGTAAAATCAAAATGAGTGATTGAGGCAGATCAACATTGTTTGGCCAAAGACGAGATCTCTGAATAAAGTGAGCTGAGAGGTCTTCTTCAGTCTGATAAGGAAAGGACCAGAGATGTCACATCCTGTCGTGCAATTACTTGCCCTGTGTTGCTATTCCACAGATCTACAAATCATGCCCTGTTATATATCAGCTGCTTTTTTTAAAATTATTTTTTTAAACCATAAACCCAAAGCAGAAATGCATCAACTCTGCATACTGACAGTGCATCAGAAATAGGGCTGGTAAAAAAATCGTTTTAATCGATTCCTTTACATTTTTGCAAAATAAATGTCTAGGGAGTGAGATCGATTCATTTTATGGTGACACGCATGACGTTCACATTCAAATGAGCAGGAAAGATGCATTCAAAATTCTTCAAGCCAGACAGCTGCAGATATAGCCAATAGCTTGACTGAAGACATTAACAAATGGGGGTTGACCAGAAAACACCCTGTAGTTGCTACAGACAACGCTGCAAATATGGTTTGTGCATTGAAGATAATGCAGCTCATTCATGTCGGCCGTGTCACATCTGTTTGCTCGAGTGAGGCTTCACTTTTTCACTTTTCACAAACAAGTTTGCACTTATGAGACAGTTTTGTTCACATCTCATGTTTAAGCTGTCTGATTTACAAGTTTGCACTTTATGTTAAATGTGACAGAAAAAACAAAATACATGAGTATTTTGAAACGCAATTGAATCACTTTCATTGTTGTAAAAACAGATCGAATCGAAATTAATCGATTAGGAACTGTATGAATCGAATTTTAATCGATTCAGGACTTTGTTAAATGACGTGAAAGGGTGAAGCCCTCAGAATATTTCTGATTAGGGCTGGGTATTTTTGCCAGCCTTATTCCAAATTGCATGAACTTAATCTCTTTCCTTGATATTCTTTATAGAATTTTGAGTAAAGAGATCATAAAGCAGTACAAACCAGCATCAATTTAAATGTAGTAATGGTCGATGTGCTTTCTAACAGGTGCAGAGGCAGAAAGTAGTGTTAGCGCTCCAAGTCCTGCTTCCCAACAGGGAGGGAGAAACAATCACCAGGTTTCCAGAGGCAACAAGTCTCGGCACAGGACGAGCTCGAATCTACATCCCTCCTCATCTTCACTAGCAGCCACCTCTGATGAGCAGGGATCATCAGGAGGGAAGAAGCTTGGTGAGTAACTACAGTCTATTAAAGCGTTCTGTCATGGAGCCTTTCAGGCTCAGGTTAGCTGAGTTAGAGAATGTCGGATGGTCCCAAGACACAGTATCAATGTAAACTTTTTCATCTTCAGCTCCAAACATTGACCGCTCTGTGAAAGACCTGCAGAGATGTACGGTCTCTCTGACCCGCTACAGGATGGTGGTGAAGGAGGAGATGGACTCTTCCATCAAGAGGATGAAACAGACTTTTGCTGAACTCCAGAGCTGGTATGTCAGCTTTCTGAAAAAAACTACAAAACCTTCCTGATTCTGTGAGAGAATGCCACCTCATTTTTTTTTTCTTTTTTTATGTTTGAGTGAGATGGAAACAAGATAAACTTAAAGTTGCTCTGCAGAACAGAGCCCAGCTGGTTCTAAAACATCACTGCAATCATAGCTGTCATGGTCTGAATAGGAGTCAAGATTGAGCTCCTGCAAAGATTAATCACCAGGATTGAATCTGCTGTTGCTGAATGATTGCACTCAAAGTTTTTGAATATGTAGTTAAAATTGAATACATTCCTTCACCCCCTAGAAAGCTGGGTGGATTGATTTGCAGTGTTGTCGTAAGGCTGGAAAATAATTCAAAATTTATCACAATTTATTTTTATTTAATAAGGGTAATATGACGTTTAAACATATTACCCGTATTTCGATATACGCTTCAGTCTGTGGTTACAGCGCTTGTCACTCTGTGATGTTCCGGGTGATTTGAAATGAACAATAAAAGCTGCAGCACATTAGCTATGTTGGTGATGATTTACGCCACAGGCAGGGATACTGTGGTGTTCATCTGCTAAGCTTCAACACTGTAATTTTTAGTTACAAAACCAACCTGCTTTGAATGGCATGTACCTGGCAGAAGAAATCCACAAAAAATTTTGCGACTTTACAATCTGAATGAGAAAATGATTGTTGCTTGCTGTCTGTGTAGAAAGCATGCTGCTAGTAAGGCAACATCTGGTGACGCAGCTAAGAGAGATGAGATGAGTGCAGCCTTTAAATAAGAGGAGAGTGCGAAATTGACAGGGAGCCATTTCATTATGGGATGCGTGAGTTAAATAATCTAGTTTTTCTTGCTGTGCCTGTGTTAAAAAAGAAAAGTAGGGATCTATTTTTGTTGTGGAAGCCGAGAGCGGTCCATTTTTTGATTTTTTTCTCTTTCCCTTCTTCAGATAATTACATAAATATCTCGTTCTCACGGTTAAACCATTCATTGTTTTCTCAAGATAACAAGATAACTATAGATAACTACTACCCGTAGTACCGCATGTGCGCAAATAATCAGTGTTTTAGTTTCCTTTTTCTTTTCACTCATTGACAGGTCATGGTGGATGATTGGATTGCATGGAATACAGTAGAAACAAATTTGACTATTTTTAAATGAAAATCTTTAATCTGGACTCATTTTGGAGGTTAATGTATCGTATACCTTTTAACGGCGTAACACCGGGGCTGTTCAGAAAACACCCGGCACTGGAGGCATAGGTTTAATTGGGTATGAATCAGAGGTGGAAACAAATCATCAAACAAACAACGTTCTCCCGTTACCTGAAAGTTAAACACAGGATTATTTACAGAATTACACATACGCTACCATGACTTATAAATCCTCTACAGCTATTGTGGTATTGGAGGATGTAATCAGTTTTGACACACACCAATCCTCTCGTTATCAGGAGAAAATGAAAAATGGACTTGTTTTCTTGAGAAAACCACAGTGAAAAAAATATCAGTGGGACATGACTGCTCTCGGCTTCACTATGTTTTTACTAAAGATAAGGAGTGCAAAAGAAACCGAAAGGCATAAGTCAATACTAGAGCACTGACAGAGGGTGGTACATTTTAAAAGGGTTCCAACCACATCTTATTGCCACTGGAAGTTCTGCTTCTGCTCCAAACTGTTCTTCCATCACAATTGCAAAGTCATTGTGCATCATGTTATGGTTCAGAAGTACTCAACATTGTGACTTCTTGTTTTGTTTCCAGCTTAATGGACAGAGAAGTGACTCTCCTATCGGAGATGGACAAAGTGAAAGCTGAGGCCAGTAAGTACTGCGTCTTTAAGTGTTTATACTCAGTTCTCCTTGTCACTGCTGGTATTCTTCCATCATCATATCACCTGACTGAAAGGCCTAAGGTTACTGACCCAGATCAGTCCCAGAAGGAGTAAGGGGGATTGTTGTGGAACAGCAAGTCCCAGTTTTCCTGAAAAGTGCTGTGGAGCCCTTAGGGTGCTGATATACCTGGAGCATACTTCCTGTGTTTGTGTATGTCTAACATGACAGAGCAGGACTTCATATTTGTATAAGTAGGCCATTCTCTCTTATTCTGTCCTCTCAGAGTGGAGTGTTATGTGTTTGGAGGCCTGGAAACACTGAATAGTGTCAGGTGTCGAGGGAGCCTCAATGCTGCCTTTGTACAAGGTGTGTGGTGGATTGAGAAGAAACCAGAGTACCTCTTTGATAAAAAAAAAAAAAAGTTCTTTAAATGTTGCCCCGAATATTGCAATACCTTTCTAATCTGTTATATAATGTTTAATCTGGAGGGAAATATTTGAATATTATCAAACAATGCTGTTTTTTTTTATTATAATTCCAGGCTAATTTGATGGTTTTTTTTGATGTTCTTAAAGGAATGAATGTAATGACTGGGGCAACTTTCAGGTGCACAAACACTGAAGGTCATGTTATCCGTTACAGTGGCTTTTGTAGGTCAGAACCTGCCACTAGGGGGCCATGGAAGGAAGCTGCTGGATGGCAGCCAGGGTTGAATCAATGCAGGTGGAAGTGAAGACTTGCTCACAATATGGAGCAAGTTACTGCAAGTTATGAGAATGAATTAGTTTCTCATCTGCTGAGCTTAAGACTGATCGGGGTACCTGTGCTGATCCATGTCCAGTACCAAGACAGGCATGTAGGCATCACAACCAGACCAAAGAGCAGCAGGAATCTGCACCCATGGGTTTAGAAAGGATTTTCTTTGTTATGCTGATGCCTGGTTTCCTCATCAGCTCTTGCCTGAAATATCAAATATGGCAGCCAATTTACCTGATTGCTTCATGTTGGATACCTTTGAAATTCTGCAAGCTTTGCGGTGATGTAGTGGGCAATCTTCTGCATCTTTTGCTTTAAGTTTTTTTTTTTTTTTTCTCAACTAAGTGCTTTTGGGCTATTAACGCGACAGCACATCAAGCTTAGTAAAAATGTGTTGTTGCGTTACATGTGTACTTGTAGACTGAGTTGTCAGACTGAGTTGTTGAATTCTAGTTATTTGTCTTGGAGGTTAAAATGAGCTCTGACATTTTTTGCAGTGAATCTCTGTAAATTGGCCAATGCTCAGGATGTCTGTCTGCTTATATTGGACTTGTTTGCAATTGGAGAATACATCTTTAAATGCGTAAATCATTCCTGTCCTACCTGAGGAAGCCATTTGCCTGGTTTCTAAACCGATTAGCTCCTAGGAAAAAAAAAGATATATATTTATAATATCATTATGTCAGTAATGCAGTATAAGATCCTCTGTTTTGTGTGTTTTTTCAGTAATGATTCTGGATGCTCGACAGAAGAGAGCGGAGGAGCTCAGACGACTAACAGACCAGTCTGCTTCAATGTCTGAGGAGCAGCTGACTGAACTGCGTGCAGACATCAAGGTCAGCTCCTAGATTTTTATTCTGCTTTCTTTTACATTTAGAGATAAAACAAGGTTACTGAATAGTTTTTTATATAATTTCAGCACTTTGTGAGCGAACGTAAATACGACGAGGACCTTGGGAAAGCTTTAAGATTTACATTTGATCTTGAACCACTGAAGACGAGCATCTCTGCGTTTGGATCAGGTACAGGACACTGGTTTTCCTACTCTCCTACTTATTTATATTGAAACTTGAGTCAAAGTTGAATCTTCTCAGTGAAGGTTTTTAAAAGGCTGACAAAAAGCCCCAATCCAGCATGGCAGACTGAAATGGGATGCTGGAAAGGATGAAGCAGAGTAACTTTGCTGTGACAGCCTTCCTGTTATCTACTGATAGTCTAGCTCTTATTAAATTGACCTTATCTTACCTTATCTTGTAAAGTTGCTCGTTAAACAATTTTTCTTTGCAGATATAGAAATAACTGTCTTCTTCCTTCTGCAATCTTAACTTCAACAGCCAAGTGTTTCTTTTCCCATTAGCCTTGATTTTTTTTTTTTTTTTCACTGTTTAAAAAACAACAAAAAAGATTGATTAGGTGAAAAATATGTAATATTATTCACTGGATTTATATCAGTGTTTTTAGCAAGGATACATAGAAATACCTTTCATTGTCTCAGGGTGGTGAAATGTGGTTGTTGAAGGAATGGTGCTCTGCAGTTGTGTTCACAAACTGTGCATATAAAATAACACTTAAACCATATATTCTACTTCAGATTAAGCAGATTTGCCAAACATTTCACCGACTAGTGCTTCATTAGTACTTGCTGATCTGAAAATTATTTTGCCACTAGCATAATCTGCAGTCATAAACATTGTTGTACACAGTCGCCATCTGCTGGTTGAACTTACTCGCGCTTCGATCAACTTGGCCGCAAGATCTGAATACTTCTGTAACTTTAGCTCCTGCTTTGGTGAACACTAACGTGCATAATGTATCGAGAGCACTTCTCAGTTCTTATCTCTCTTGGCATCATTTCTTTTACTCTTTTCACACTTAATCTTAGACTTTTGCTCTTCTGCTGGGCACTGCTGACTAGCGTTACTTCCTTGGTTTGCTTATTAACAAATGGAGAGAAAAAAAGGAAGTTTTAAACAAAAAATTCAACAGGATGCCATGATTTTATAAATGGACCTTAAGGCTGATTTATACTCAGAAACCAGGTTGTCTGTGTGTCTGTTGCAGTAAATGCAAATATGCCGCCGCCCCTTCTGCAGGCACTCTGGTGCACCTCTGCAAAATTGTAGGTGACCGCAGACAGTGCTGCAGACAGGAGGCCTCTGATTGGTCAAATCTACATCCGCTTTACACTATGTGTATTTCCTGTTTGGTACCTTATCGACATTTTTTGTTTGTATGACCGCCATTGTGGAAGAGGCCTCTTGAACTTGGACCAGCTAGAAGAGCGAGATGCGCAAGAAAGCTAGGACCCTTATACCAACAGGATCCCCACTCTTTTTCGCACTCATGTGCCTCTGTTGTCGCACGAAAATATCCCCCACTTCTTCACCACGCAGACCATTCTTCAATATTGGGCATAAATGAAAAAAATATTTGAGACAAGCTCACTGCGACACACTGCTGCGGGAGTGTCACCAGCCCTTTAGTATTCAACTAGAATAAACTGGTGCACAAATTGGTAAGTTGAGTAGTTGACTGGGGCCATTTTAATGGAGTGGGGAAAAAAGACAAATTCAGGTAAAAATTAGAAAATGTGGAGAAATGTTCTGGTTAAAAGATTTGAGAAAAATACCAGAACCAATAAATCACTTCCAGGTAAAAATATCTGCAAATGGTCATAAGCATCTATGGAATTTCACATTTCTTACACTAAACCCCTGTAAGACTCATATTAGACTTGCCTTTTTTAGTTGGTTTTTTTGTAACGCACATTTACAAAATTATCCATGTCCAATGGCAAGATTCTAATCAACTGATAACATTTTGCAAAGAGGTTTCTACGTTCACTTGCATCGCCTGTTATTTTGGTCCATGGAAATACTTCTGATTGACATTTTCTTTTTTTCAACATTTTAAATGTCAGTAACCGGATCGCTGTCCATTTCTTATTCAAATTTTTAACTGAGTGAATTAAAAACTGTGCAAACTACTGTTGAATAAATCATCCTAGCAGCTTGTAGTGAGATTTAACGCACAGAGTCTTAGATCTGCTAAGATCTGCTGGAAGGAGGATCTGTGGAAGCGCTCCTTTGTGCATCTAGGATACAGTGGTCTGTCATTGTCTCCAGCTTCTCAACGCCTTCATGCATATGGTGACAAATGTTTAAATGTGATATTTTTATTTATTATTTTGTATTTTAACCTGTGCTGTGTGACAGGAAATCTGTAGCTTAGGGTTACTTAACGTAAAAATGAAAGGACTGTTTGATAGAAACCCCTCTGATCAGTTTTTCTTGAAATAGAAAGCTCTATGGGGTAATGTTCGACTATTGATCGACTTTTAATTTCTCAGAAATCTTTGGCTTTGCACTGGGATAAAGGAAAACGAACACTTTGCTTGAAAGACAAAGGGTAACATAAGGGAAAACATCAGCAGACATGCCACAGAATGGAGCTGATGGTCGACTTCTCTAGTCTTCTGGGGACAGAATAAATTAATATCATTATGTCCAAGTTTCAAATCTAAATGCATCCATTAATTCTAATTTTTCCTGCTGATCTGGAATAGATTCGAAAATGATGTTAGATTGTGCTTCATGAAACTGCCTTTCGTGTTGCAGCTTATTTTGGATATTTTTAATCGTACACATTTAGGATTATCCTAAATCTGTGAACTTAAGAATGCAGTTCAAAAACAGTTTTATCAAAATGTTGCTAAAAAGAAACAAAAAAAAAATGTTTTATTATTCTACAAATAACATTTTATGTATGAAAGTAGCTCTCTTAACATTTCTCGCTGTGTCTTTCTCCATCAATGTCTTATTGAAGTCTTTATCTCAGTCTCGTGCAGCACACGGTCTTGCAGATTTCTTTTTCTGCTGATCTATTTTCATCCTCTTCTTGATCTCTCTTTTTAGCATATTTTATTTTTATCCTCTTGTCAAATTTTGCTCTTCAAACGGGAGTGGGCTACTGATGAAATCCAGCCTTGGAGCTTGGTTTGGGGAGGCTTTTTATCTGATAACACTAGTGATGCAAGTGGACGCTTAATTTAAACACACATACTTTATTTGCAGTATGAAAGGGTTTTATTTTAACTGTTAAAACCGCTTGTGTGGTTGTATTTAATGATAGAAATAACATGTCAGATTATAAGAGTTTACTAAATGGGTTTTTAAAAATCAAAATCAGTTACTGTCCTGCTTCTTCTTCTCATTCTTCTGTCCCTCATAATCTGCCTCCGCTTCCTCACTCTGAAATGGATCAAACCCAGCTAGCTGACGATGGCTTCATCTTGTAAAAACTTTGCTCCCCCAATTTCTTCTTACTTTTAGCATTTTTGCTGATTTAACCTGATATGTTTTTTTCTTTTTTTTTTTATCCAAAAGGGGCTTTTTGTATCTTCTATGACGTACTGAGCCAGTTATATAAATGACTCATCTTTTTTACCTTACCTTAAATTGGTGAATATTGTTTTTTAAGTTGGTTTACAACCTTGGACAGCTTAAAGATGAAATGAAATGATTAACCAAACTAACTTAATTCGTGAGATTGTGTCTTATTATTATCAATAATTATATTACAAATGGTAAAAAAAATATAAGCATGAATTAAAAGATTTAGCATGGTTTATAATCTTTTAGTAAGGGTACCACCTTGTTGCAGTATTCAAAACATGGTAACGTCACCGGGTTGATTGATGCTTCAGCTAGCAATTGTATACAATGGATATACCAGCGATACCTCACAACCATAAAATACTTAAGAAATTTGGTATGATGGAAGAGGAAGCGTAAAGGACACTCTGCAGTCTTAATGCTATTGCTTATGCTTTCAAGCCCATTCACTGTATGACTTGAGTCATAGTAAGGAGAGAAGATGCAGTTTTGGAGTCATGGTTCTGAATATCCCTGCTACCTGGCAGACCACAGATTCTGGAGAATATGTAACGCAGACGACTTTTGAATCTGGTAAGCTAGCAGTCTATCGGACAGCCAGCTACAGCCTAAGGCTGCTCCGAATTTTTTGAATTTCACCACCTATAAGCTGGGCTCTTCTAACCGGCCAAAACACCGACAGCAGGTCAGCTGTAATGACAGGGTGCGAAAACACGGCAAGCAGGCTTGTAAAGTTATGTTGTCAGGTATTAAATCATAAACTATCTCAAAAACAGACATCCAGAACTAGAGCTAAGTTCTCTGATTTTATCCCTATTCAAGCCACTCATTAAACACGTATTATAACTCAAACGGTAACCATCATGATTAACACATCTCTGCATCACAGGGTAGCTTAGCCACAGGCTATCACAGCAGCTCCGAGCCTCCAGAGAAATTACCTGTTGTGGAAACTGGGAATAACGGTAAGAAATAGGCAGTCAGGTTACCCTAAGGTCCGTGCTCTACCTCACCATCCTGCGGCCTTATTCCTGCGGTGTGTTTACCGGTTACTCCAATGTCTCTGCTTGGAGGCCTCAGGGACAGCAGGGCCTCCTCCAAAACGTCCACCTCTCAGCACAGCAACCTAAATGTCTGAACATTGGTTAATGCACAAGTTGATGCACAGTACATGGTCCGGGTCGGCCTCCTGATGGCAGATAGACTTCATTACTGTGGGCATCAGTGAACAGCAGCCACACCTGGTAGCATTGTCACCCGCTCCGCCCAAAACGCGTCAGATCTTCCCACCGCAGCGATAAGCATAAGCAATGGGATTTAGATTGTCGAATTTTCATTTCAGCTTCATCTTCCGTCATACCAAATGTCTTAAATGTTTTACGGTTGTAAAACATTTAAGACTTCATCAACAAACCCTGTGAAGCCACTGCTTGGAGTACTGCAACATTGCAGAGTCACTACCAAAGAATTATTTTCTTTTATGTTAATATCGTTCACATTTGTAATTTAATTATCGATAATAATAAGACACAATCTTGTGAATGAAGTTAGTTTGGTTAACTGTTTCATTTCTGACCTGACAAGGATGTTCATGTTTGGAAATGAGACCAAAGCAAAGATGTATTAAAAGCTCATAATGCACGACAACTTAACATACATTTTATAAAGTAGGTGAAAAAAACCACCCTGACTGAAGTTTTATTACTAGTCCTACTTGTTTGTTTGAAGCTAAATTAAAAATTTCTGCAGTGCTTTGTGTTTATTCCTAATTTAGCTTAAGTCTTAATCTGATGGCCTTTTTTACACATCAGTAGGAATCTTTGTATTCCAGCATCTCCGTCATCCTTTGACTGAAGCAGCTGGGTTTCATTTAGTTGGTAATGAATATTAAAATCCTCATGTCGAGTTGTAATGTTTGTTTTCAAGGAAAAACAAATATATTGTTCCTGTGGATTGCATTTCATATTGAATTCATGACAGACCTGCTGTGATTATTTGGGCAGTAGTCCAACGGCAGTAGATGATATCACCTGTAGGTTTTTATTTCCCATGATGCTACATGTCACACATGTCAGGAAGATCAGTAAAGGGCGTACGTTTTTAACCAATGTCCTCTACTTACTGAACCAGTGTCTACGCCAAATATCTTTTGGGCCCACTTTTGAAAAATGTTTTGCTTAAATCCTGTGAGATGCTTACTTTTGGTTAAACAGTTGATGACGAGCGATCTGATTTATCTTGAGGGAACCGTGTAGTCGACAGGAAGCGGCTCTGCTGTGTCTGACTCACTGTTTGTTTGCTTTTCAGTGTACCATCCACGTACGGGCTACTCAGACCGGTCCCGCTGTAGCTCCACATCCTCCTCCGTTACCAGTCCAGTCCAGATTGAGACGCCTCCTCCCATCCAGACCACACCTGCCCCCACTGAAAACCGACCTCCTCCAGTCAAACAGGTGAGCTGATAAGTACAGTATTTCAATTTCTATCCCCCTTTACTTAATGTGTAAACTGGATGTTAATAGGTGGCATTGCGTATAAAAGCAGTTGTTCTACGAGGCCCTGGGGTTTTCCAAACTAACGGCATCATTAAGACCAAACCCGTTTCTTTATATGTGGACTTCGTTCTTGTGTGCTAATGAAACATCAGCCTCAGCCCCAGCATTGTTCAAATTCACAAGAACAAGAAGTCCGAGAATAGACAAAGTCCCCTGATGTTGTTTTCACGTCTCCCTCCTTACTGAACTTACATCAGAGCAGACTTGTCCATTCCCAAGATTGACAGCTGTCTCAGCATACACCAGGGCAGCAGCTTTCAGTGTGTTTATCTGGCTGTGTTAATCATTATTCCTTCACTAAATTAAAAAAGTAAGAATGTATTACCTAGAGACTTTTAATAACAGAAGGTGAAATGCAGCTCCAGGTGAGCCGAGCATGTGGTTACATCACGAGTACGCTTCTGTTCCAATTGACCCAGATTCTCCCGTTGCCCCAGAGTCCATACTTTTCTGTGTTTTTGTCAAGAACATGGTGAGGACACGTGTCCGTACTCGCGTTCTTGTGAATTGAGAAATGGCCTAAGAGACACTGCAGACAGATCCGGGCTAACAGTGGGTGCATTGGGTTATAAATAGAGGTGGGAAGAGTACCCAAACATTGTACTTAACTAATGGTAGCAATACTTTGTCATATTTTTAAAGTAGAAGTTAAAAGTAGGCTTAAAGAAATTATTCAAGTAAAAGCAAAAAAGTGGACTAGCTGATATATCACCGAATGCTTTGCAAGAGCTCTCCTTGCAAAGCATCATGGGACGGGGGGATGGCGTTACGTGACCAACGGATAATGAAAGGGAGTGATCCTCTGTCCGAACGGTCAGTTCACTGAGTTCACTATAAACTCCCTGCTCTATATAATAATTTAAGAGTTACAGCAGACAGACCCTGATCTGACTTTTATTAAAGTGACTTTTATGAAAGTTAATGTTGAAAGCTTAATCATGAAATGCCTTTTAAAAGTTTCTTAGTAACAAATTAAGAAATATGTTAATATCCCTTTCTGTGAAATCCTTCTTTATGTTCGTCTTGCACAAAAAAAATCCCCACAAAACATCAAAGTTTGTTCCTGGACCAGAACAATAACTGATAATCCCGGCCGGATCCTAAAGGTGTGATTTTCATTTTCATTTTTTCCCACCAGATTTTCCAAGGAAACAGACGCACCTTCCAAGGACCGGGCTATCACTCAGGCGCTCAGCGGTTTAACGGCAGCTCCCACCATGACAGGACGGCCGGCCGCGGCAGCCACCGTCACCAGGGTGACGGCGGCTCCTCGCAGCAGCCCAACAGCTCCAGAGGCCCCTCCCACCCCGCCGCATCCTCCTCTCACAACCAAGACCGCCCCGCCCACAACGGGCTGCCCCAGAGGCTTCCTCGAACACACTGCCCTTGACATTGGAAATCTTGTCAGCTCAGTCGAACCCGCCCACTGCCCCGCCCCCCTCCCCACATCCCATCTCCTTTCAATGAAGAATAGAATACAAGTTTACATATTTCAGTGAGTTGAGCTGTAGTGCCACCTCTCTGCATCAATCTGTTCATTCTTTGAACTAGAAAAGCTCCAACTGTCTCTTCCTCTTTTTGTTATTGTGACACTTTCTATCTTTAGCCTCGCTGTCAGAGATCTCGCTGCTCTGCCGCTGTGTCTGTCATCAGTTATTACCATGAAGCATAGCTTCAGAGACTCACTTGATTACCTGCAACAATCTGTGCACTATTGAAGGTGAACTTGTAGTTCTTTCCTTTCTGTATTGCTGTGGCGCCATCAGCTCTCTAATTCAAAAGCTCAGATTTTTTTTGTTTCCAAGAACCATTTCAATGCCTTCACTGTTGGAAAAAAAAAGGAAATATTGTGGATGTGTAAAAGTAGTTCTATCTTGGACAGGGCCCTCTGTCCGAGTTGTAGACATGCAATCAACACTACAGATCGTCGTCTAGCTTCACTCGGTGAAAATAAGATGTATCAAACTGTAAATCAGAGCTTGATGTTCAGCTGCTACAAACTGTAGGGGAAACTTAAGGTCGGGACGTGTTTGGACTCGAAAGGAGTAGTTTAAATGTTAGAAGCGCCTCTTTCTATCAGCATGTCACCTTTGTTCAGCAAAGACTTTAATGAACGTTGCTCAACGCCTCAGTTTTTAAAGCTAAAAAACAGCTTTATATTTACCATAAACAGAAGTTCATGTTTTTGCTCTGCTCCTCCTGAGGTTGTCGGAATATTTTCCAGAAGTCTTAAACTATACCGTAAAATTTTCACCTTAAGCAAACTTTCTTTATCCTTCAGGCCGCTTGTTTTCAAACTACGAGGGCTCATTAGCTTTTTTTTTTTTTTTTTTTTCCCCTGTAAACATAAAGGAAGCTCCTTTGCTGCTCCATAATTCCCAGCACTTTCTTTTCAGCTGGGTATTCTCCCCCCCGCTCAGTTCCTTGCTTTGTTTTGTTTTTTTCTTATATGCACACCAGTGGCATTGTAATGTCTTTCTTGCCTTTAGTCACGGACTTCACATTTGCCTTTTTACAGACGCGCCTCTCCATCATAACTGCTCATCTTCATTTTTTCTCCATCTCCCGACCATTAAAGTAAGGTTCTCATAGAGTTATCGAGTGGAACAGGTGGGTGTTCATTTCTTTTCATGCCTGCCAAGTAGTCGCTTCAAGCTGCTTTTTGAGGTTCCATTTCCTCTTTGTGTCCAGTTTTAGAACAAAACGCTGGTGAATACCTCATCGCTAAATCCTCCGTCACGACCCGTTTCTGCCCGTTTTTCTGGAAGTGGGCTCTTCATACAAGAACGGGACCCCGCCGGTGATACGTTACCCTTTATGTTGTAGTTATGTACATACGAGCTACAGAGCCGCAGTGGAAAACCGGACGTGTTACTTTATTGCTTCATGACGTTTCTTTATCAGCCGTCTTCCTTCCAGTGGGAAGGAAAAAGTTCATCTTTAAATCTTTTTTTTTGTGTTTGTGTGTCTTCCCTAATTTTTCCATCATAAATGATATATTTTTTTTTTTTTTTTTTTCATAGTTTTGAGTTTAAGAAGAAAAAAAATGTTACTAGTTAAATTAGTGATTATTGTGGAGAAAATAGTGAAGAGAGGCTTTGGGAATAAATAAATGGTGATTAGGCTTGACTGAAAGTAGTTCAGTGTTTTTGGGAGTGATTGTTGGCTTTCTCATCAGATTTTAGGGCATATATGAAGGTATTGTGAGCAAACAGTTCTCTTATGACCAGATATTAGATTCTGGTTGCTATCTGCTTTGCTCAGATGTTGCTGTCTTAAACAGATTTGCGCCCCCTTTGGTACCGCATCCCTTTGAGCTGCAGGTCGGTGGTGATGCTAGCTGAATATTTTAAATGCTTTGCTTCAGCTTCCATGAACATCCAATCACTGAGCAGTTTCCATGGAACCACTCTGAGCAGACTAAAAGAAATTAAGAAAAATCCTTCAAAGCTTGTGAATTATCTCAAACCTTCGTTTGCTGCATGTTTACACCAATATTGAAGTTTTTGCTTGGAGTGGTAAGAAGCTTGAGCCTGTTAATGTCGGAGCCTCAGAGGTGTTTCCAGGTTTTTCGCTCATAGAGGTTCATTTGTTTTGTCTGCGTATTTAAGGAGACTGGACCTAATGTTAGGACTCCTCCTCTCCTGAGAACAAGCTGCACTGTGGACTGAATCTAACTGCAGGAGACATTAACCTCCAGTCCTCCCTCACTCTGGCAGATAACCTGAAAAACGCTGGATTCTGTCCGCTTCCCCGACACCTTCATCCACATCTGTTTTTGTTTGACATTCCAAGCTCCAGAGATGTTGGGTTTTTGCAACCGAAATGGTTAAAATGCAAAACCCAAAAGTTAATAAATTCAACGCTTATACTTGTTTTTCTTTCTACCCTACTTTAGTTCTGATTCTTTCCTGTATATACATGTATGTAGCTATATGATTCTGTGCTCAAAAAGGGCATTTCGTATGTGATATTCATACTAGACATATTTGAAGTTAAAACATCTGGTTTGCTCATTCTTCCAACTGTAAACTCAAGTGCCTTTTCTTGTCCCTTCCTCCTCTGACTCCGACATTTTCTCCACCAGAGTATGGACCAAAGACATCAAGCCCAGCCCCGTCTTTCTCCCTCTCACTGAATGGCACACTTTTCATTTACTACAAATAAAACTGTTTGCAATACCAACCTTGTATCTTTGAGTTTTGATTCACACAAAAGAACGTTGCAAATCTGTGATGATGTAGCTTTATTTGTCTGCTTTGTTTTTTATTAGAGATTTTGGGTTAAAGTTGATAAAAGTTAACCTTTTAGTAATCTTAAAAAAATTTTAAAAAATCAAATAATTTTATTTTATTACCTTTTTAAAAAATAGTTTGCATAAAACAGTGAATTTAAAACTTTTCTTTAGGCCAATAAATCTTTATGGTTTAATGGTTTGAATTTAAAAACCAAATTAACACTTTAATCTCAGCCATAAGAAAAGATTTTGGTAAATCTTGTTTCCTATAAGAAACTTCAGTAAATTTAAAGTCATGTTTGTTCCTATCTAGTATGATATTGAAGAAAATGCATAAAGAATGGTTTGATTAAAAATAAATATGAACATTTTTGTAAATAAAAATGTGGTAATTAAATCCAGCTTTGATCTTCAACCTTCTGTGCTGGTGGGTTGACCCTGGTTTAAAACTATCAAACAAAAACAACCACAGGAAGTTTATGTGCAATCTTTATCAAGTTACCCAGTGGTTCAAAGTTAATTACATTTATTTCTAAACGTATTTTCATGAGTATTAGTCTATGTAATTTTTTTCACTGGCTTTAATTCTAAATTTGTTCTTTAGAAAAATATATATTTTTCATATCAACATGGATTAAAGAACAGGAATTTTCCCTATAAATTGAATCTTGGATTTAGTAATTTGTTGCAACATGTGAACGGCTTTAATATTAAAAGGTCATTTAAAATTTACTTTAAGGTTGTAAAAGGTATCAGATTAAGATTTATATATTTATATAGATATATATATATATATATATATATAAAATAAATAAATAAAATCAGGGCAGCCGCTTAATTGCTTGAAAATGTGCAATACCGTAAACGGCCAGCAGATGGCGACCTTATTAAACAATTCGATGGACAGTTTAAACGCGAGGCAAGAATAGGAGGCTTTGGACTAAACTGGCGTCAATAAATGAGCCAGGGTTACATTTCAGCTGTGGCTGATCAAGCAGGCCAACTTTCTGCATAATTAGGGTTTCATAATTAAAACGTCAGGAGGAATCCAAGTTCCATTAAAACGAAGAAAACTGATTCCTTCAGCTTTTCCTCTTCAGACCCTTCTCGTGATTTTTTTCCACTTTAAGAGCTGATTTGTGAATAACTTCTTACTGTTGTAAAATTCTAAGAGAAATCAAACAACTTTCCTAAAATGGCACCAGATAAGAGGAGATACCTTTATAAGCTCTACTTTAAGATTCATCGACACACTTTTTCCATGTAAACTTGCTGAGGCAGAACCCGAAAGCAGTTCAACCTGAAACTTCTGCTCCTATCTAATTTTGTGCAAATAAATTCAAATGTTATAAACCATAGAACTGTCCTAAATGGTAAGATATGATAGGTTCCCTTTAAATTGACCTTAGCCAAAGCTGTTTTCCTAATTTCTAATTGGAAATAAAACCATGTGAGTAGTTTTATTAGAATGGAGTAATCCTTTAGAAAGAAAATGTTTCTATTCTATTAACATTTTATAGAAACAATATTAAGACCTTTTTCCAACTTTCTGCTTCTTTTCCCTCGACTTTTGATGATTTTTGACTAGTGGGGAGTGGCAGCCTAGTGGTTAGGACATAGAGCTTGGAATCTTGAGGTTCTGAGTTTGAGCCCCACTCTGGGTCTCTGGGCAAGACCCTTCCCCCCTTCGATTGCTTCCCAGGCGCCAGACGATGGCAGCCCACTGCTCCCCAAGAGACTGGGTTAAATTCAGAGGTACGTTTTTCCACTTTGAGGTCAATAAAGTTAAATTATTTTAAACGGGACTCTTGGCCTAGTGGATAGAGCAGTGCGCTTGTGCTCTGAGAAGGTTACAAGTATCCGATTTGGGTTCATGAGCAAAACGCTTAACCCTGGGCCCCACACAATGGCAGCCCACTGCATCCCCAAGGTGATGGGTCAAATGCAGAGGTACATTTCTCCAATGTGAGATCTATAAACTTCAATTATTATTATTCCATTCCACCACAGATTATCTATCCAATTCAAGTCAGGACTCAAAATTTTACCATTTGATTCAAGTAAAAAAAACATGGTGGTGAAATAAAGGAATTTTTTGAAGCAGGATAGTCACGAATTTGTGTCTTAGCTTTATAAAGCAACTAAATGTTTTTTTTGACAGAGGATCGATTAAGATTTTTAATTTAATTTGTCAGGTATGTTAGGTTTCAAGCTACCTGTAATAAATGACCAAATATGATCACAGTTGTCTTGGTAAATGAATTATATTTAAGTTACCAACTAATTAACCATCAGCTTTGAAAGAAAAATATCTGAAACAGATATAACAAAGTCAATTTATTTAACTTAAAACTTTTATTTTGAAATACAAAATTTGAATGAGTGAAACTGTTTGGTCACTGATTCAGCATCTCCTGCTGAGGTAGACTGTACAAAACTACAATACCTCTGTACATAATGCAAATAGAAATGCAAATGAGTATCAAATGAGTGGATCGAAAACAACACATCCAGCAGGTCACAGCCCCATCACAGCAGGAAACACAGCAGCGCCTGTTGAAGGAAGGAAACGGATTCAGTCCAGACTTCTCGTAAAAA